TGCAAGAGCAGTCAGTGCTCTTAATTGCTGAGCCATCTCTTCAGCCCCACAAATTAAAAAAAAAATATTATTTTTATTTTATGTGTATGTGTGTATTGCCTGCACGTAGGTAAGTGCACCTGTGTCATGCCATGCCCTTGGAGGTCAGAAGAGGCTGTCGGATCCCCTGGGACTGGAGTTAGGGACAGTTGTTAGCTGCCATGTGGGTGCTGGGATCCAAACCGGGTCTTCTGTAAGAACAGCTGGTGTTCTTAACTGCTGAGCCATCTCTCCAGCCCCACAAAATAATTTTTTAAAAGAGAAGTAAGAAGTAAGAAGCCCTCCTTCATTACTTATGTATATGTGCTTCATTAAACTTTATTGTGAAAGATCTCACTTCCCTTTGATTTGACCTTTTCCTTACATATACGCTCCTCTCCCTTTAATATGATCTGCCAGCTAGATATATAAACAGCAGGCTTGTGTTACATATTTTAATTTTTAGCTGAGTGTGGTGGTGCATGCCTTTAATCCCCACACTCCCTGTAGCTAGGGCTACTGGGAGACTCAGGTCTGAGTGCTGAGATTATAGGTGTGAACCATTATGCTCAGGTCTAAGTCTCCCTGTAGCCCTAGCTGGCCTGGAACTCACTATGCAGATCAGGCTGGCCTTGAACTCACAGAGATCTGCCTGCCTCCACTTCCTGAGTGCTGGGACTACAGGCATGTGCCACCATGCCCTGCTTAGACAAAAAAAATTTTTTTAAAAATTTTATTATTTTTATGTGCATGTATTGCCTGCATGTAGGTGAGTGCACCTGGGTTGTGCAATGCCCACGGAGGTCAGACGAGGCTGTCAGATCCTCTGGAACTGGAGTTACAGACAGTTGTTAGCTGCCATGTGGGTGCTGGGATTTGAACCTGGGTCTTCTGCAAGAACAGTCAGTGCTTTTAACCACTGAGCTACCTCTCCAGCCCTGACAAAATTTTTTCAATAAAATTTTATGTAGCTTTGGCTGACCTCCAAGTGAGGATGACCTTAAATTTCTGATCATTTTGCTTCCACCTCCGCAGCTTTGGGATTACAGGTGTGTGTGTGTGTGTGTGTGTGTGTGTGACCAAACCCAGCTGTTGGGGAGTTTGAACACAGGGGTTCCACACATGCTAGGCAAGCACTCTACCCATTGAGCTACATTCCCAGACCCTAAATATTTTAATTAGCCACATCCTTTGTGGATGATAGGATATCCACATCAATTTACAGTTTGGTCAGAAAGTAAGCTCATTTTAACTCTTAACTATAAGACTCTGATTGAAAAAAAAAAAATGGGGCCAGGCATGGTGTCGCAGGCCTTTAATCCCAGGCCTTTGGTCTCAAACACCAAAAAAAAAAAAATAAAATAAAAAAAAAATAAAATTGGGTTTTTGAGACAGAGTCTCATGGAACCCAGCTGGCCTCAAACCAGTTATTGGCCAAGGATGACTGAATTGCTGATCCTCTTGTCTCAACCTTCCAAATCCTGGGATTACAGGTGTGCTGCCATCAGGAGGGTTTAAAACTCTGAACCTAAGCCAGTCCCAGCACTTGGGAGGCAGAGGCTGGTGGATCTCTGTGAGATCAAGGCCAGCCTGGTCTACACAGTGAGTTCCAGGCCAGCTGGGGCTACAGGGAGACCCAATCTCAAAAAGACAAAAAAACAAACAAAAAACCCCAAAAACCCAGAATCAAAAAAACCTCAAATTTTGATCCTAGCAGACAAGGTGTCTCAGGGAGTAGAGGCATCTGCCGCTAAGCCTGACGACCTGAGTTCAATCCCTGAGACCTATGTAATATGAAGACTTCCTCAAGTTGTCTCTGACCTCCACACACAGGCACACACAAATAATGTAATAAAAAATCTGATCCTTAAATAAGCAATACTACTGAGCGAATGCGAAGATCAGCAATAGGACCGCCACCTAGTCCTTCACTACAGAATCAGATGCCACCGCAGGATCTCCCCCCACGGCCTGCTTTACATGGAAGGGCAGCCGGCTCTAACCAGACCCTCCCTGCCCCCTCGGAACCTCCGACCCAAGGGACCGCGCTAGCCCCACATGTCGGCATCCCGGTCTCGTTGGTAACCATTTCCTGTTTCGTAGTAGTGCATGATGGGGGAAATAGTTAATTTTTCGCCCGCGAATCCTAGGCTTTGGCCCAATGTGGAACTTCATTTCCCGAGGTGCCTAGCGGCAGCTGCGAAACCAAAAACCAGAGACCGGTTCCGGTTGCATCAGCGTGGGATTCTCGGCGAAATGAGATTGTTCGTCTGCGAGGGCGCCCCGGGGAGCCTGCCGGTGTTGGCGGCCGCCGGGAGGGCCAGGGATAGGGCGGAGCTGCTCATCAGCACCGTCGGCTCCGAAGGTACCGGGTGATGCTGGTGGGCCGCGTGTGAGGGGTCGTAGTCTAGTAGTCGGCTTTGCCCAACCTCAGTCCCCCCCCCACAAGTCGACCTCTTACCCCGTTATCCTAGGTCACTCCATACTCTTTTCCCTTCCCTGACCCTTGCTTCTTTTAATTAGCCTCACCTTGCTCTTTCCTCACTTATCACCTCTCTGTTTCGCCCCAGTGACCTGCTGTCTTCTCCCTCCTACCTGTCAGGCAACCCCCTTCACCCCGTCTCTTTCGAGATAAACTCCAGCCACCTCTTTGTCATTCTTGGGAAATCCGTCCCTCCTCTCCTAGGCCCTTAACACAGACTCGTGCACACACACAACCCTTTGAGTTTGCCTCCTCTTATTCCCAGCTAACTGTTTGGGCGACTTTAAAAGTTCTGTTGTCAGCCCTCCCACTTCTGTTAATTTTGTTCTCTACTGTGACTGCAGGTCATTCACAAGATAGTCTACTTACTTTCCGTTATTCCAGTTCCTGGCTGCAGCACTATCCCTATATCACCACCTCCACTCTGCACTCTCCACCTGTTGTTTCCAGTTGGCAGTTGCAACTGAACACTAGCTGGCCTATTCTAGCGTATTCTGAACCCATCCCCCTTTCAGTGGGCCATCTTGGGAACTACAGGTTGAAACCACCCATCTTTCTTTTCCCTGAAACAATATAGAGTGCTCCTAAGTTGTCAAATGTTTTTTCTTACTCCTGTTTTCCACCGGTTTTCCTGATTCAGAGTGTGTGGTCCCGTTCCTGACCCGACCTAAGGTTCCTGTCTTGCAGCTGGATAGTGGCAACTACCTCTTCTCTAGTAGTGCGATCTGCCGGTCAGTATTGGTCCTCAGTGTGGGGAGGTGGGCTGCATCAATTCAGGCTTCACTATCATTTTTGTGACCTTATTTGCAATCACTGTTTCACAGAGGGCTCATATCCTTGGATTTTAACTTTTGTTCTCTCCCTGCACAGGTACTTCTTTCTGTTATCTGGCTGGGAGCAAGACGACCTTACCAACCAGTGGCTGGAATGGGAAGCAACAGAGCTACAGGTGGGACTAATGCAGCAGGGACGGTAGGCAGGCCCTTCTTATGCATGGCCATCCTGACCTGTGTTCTCTGCATTTTAGCCAGCTTTGTCTGCTGCCCTGTACTGTTTGGTGGTTCAAGGCAAGAAAGGGGAACATGTTCTTGGCCCACTTCGGAGAGCCCTGACTCACATTGACTACAGCTTAAGTCGTCAAAACTGTCCTTTCTTGGCTGGGGTGAGTTGATCTTGAAATGGGGTTTGGTGAAGGCCTATGTTGTAAGGGTTTAGAGTGAATACTGTATTCAAAGTATTCAGACTCCAGCAGCCATTTACTAGCATTGTAATCTTGAGAATCACTTTGTCTGAGTCTCAATTTTTTTGTGAGGATATGTTAGAAAATATAAATTGTTTTACCTAATGCTTGGCACATAGGAAGTACAACATCAGATCTGGGTGTGGTGGTATATGCTTGTAAACCCAGCCCTTGGAAGATAGAAGCAGGAAGATCAGAAGTTCAAGGTCATCCTTGGCTATATAGGGGTTTGAGGCCAGTTGGGGCTATGTGAGACCTTGTTTAAAAAAAAAAAAGGTAAACATCAGCCAAGCCTGGTGATGCACACCTTTAATCCCAGCACTTGGGAGGCAGAGGTAGGCAGATTGAGAACAGCCTAGTCTGCATAGTTCCAGGTCAGCTGAGGCTATAGGGAGACCCTGTCTCAAAAAAACCAAAAATAAAAAAAGGTAAACATTAGATATTATCATTGGGAAATATGAGTTGTATATTTGTATAACATTTTATTTTTTTTCTCCCGCCAGGACACAGAGTCTTTAGCTGACATTGTTTTGTGGGGAGCATTGTACCCATTGTTGCAAGACCCAACTTACCTTCCTGGTGAGAATTGTATATATCACTTTATCCCCAACCCAGGAGCTTGGTATAGGGATTCTAGAACAGTAGAATATTGAGAATCCACTTTAAGGTATACTGTGATAGGGAAACTACAGCAGAAGGTGGCCAAGGGAACTGGGGAAAGCACCTGGAAGGTGAGACGGTCCACTCCTGCTACCCATTCTTGGTTTTCATGTTTGCTCTTTCTTTTCTCCCATGCCCACAGAGGAGCTGGGTGCCCTACATAGTTGGTTCCAGACACTGAGTACCCAGGAACCATGTCGGCGCGCTGCAGAGACTGTGCTGAAACAGCAGGGTGTCCTGGCTCTCCGCCCATACCTCCAAAAACAGCCACAGCCACAGTCCCATCCTCCTGAGGGGAGGGCTGTCAGCAATGAACCTGAGGTTTGGAACAGGGCAGGGCATCCCCAGAGCCTCATTTGTGGCCACCTTCTTGATAGAAAAGAGTTAGTTTCTTTGTCCTGTGCCCCCCCACCCCACCATGTGGCAAGGGATTCTGAATGTCTACTCTTTTTTTTTGTTTTAAATTTATTATTTTTTATTTTATGTGTATGAGTGTATTGCCTGCGTGTAGGTAAGTGCACCTGTGTCGTGCAATGCCCGTGGAGGACAGAAGAGGCCATCGGATCCCCCAGAACTGGAATTACGGACAGTTGTTAGCTGCCATGTGGGTGCTGGGATTCGAACCCGGGTCTTCTGCAAGAACAACCAGTGTTCTTAACCACTGAGCCATCTCTCCAGCCCTACTCTTTTAAAAAATTTTTTTTTTTGTCTTTTTGAGACAGGGTCTCCCTGTAGCCCCAGCAGTCCTGGAACTCACTATGTAGACTAGGCTGGCCTTGAACTCACAGAGATCCATCTGCCTCTGCCTCCCAAGTGCTGGGACTACAATCGTGCACCACCATGCCCAGCAAATTTTTTAATTTATTTTTATTTTATGTGTATGAGTGTATTGCCTGTGTGTGTAAGTGCACCTGTGTCATGCAGTGCCTGAGGAGGTCAGAAGAAAGTGTCAGATCCCCTGGAACTACAGTTACACATGGTTGTTAGCTGCCATGTGGGTGCTAGGAATTGAATTCAGGTCCTCTGCAAGAGCAGTCAGTGCTCTTAACCACTGAGCCATCTCTCCAGTACCGTACTCTTTTTTTTTTTGGTCTTTCTGAAGCAGAGTCTCCCTGTAGCCCCAGCTGTCCTGGAATTCACTATGTAGACCAGGCTGGCCCTGAACTCACAGAGATCTGCCTGCCTCTGCCTCCCAAGTGTTGGGACTACAGGTGTGTGCCACCATGCCCAGTGGTACCCTACTCTTTTTAAAAAAAATTTTTTTAAATTTATAGTTGGTTGCTGGGCATGGTAGTGTACCCCTTTAATCTCAGCACTAGGGGAGGCAGAGGCAGGTGGATCTCTGTGAGATCAAGGCCAGCCTGGTCTGCATGTGAATTCCAGGCCAGCTGGGGCTACAGGGAGACCCTGTCTCAAAAAAAGACCAAAACAAAAGAAAGAAAAAAAATTATTTACTTTTATGTGTATGAGTATTTTGCCTATATGTATATAAGTTCGCTACATGTGTACAATGCTCACAGAGGCCTGGAACTTGGCTTAGAGATGATTGTTTGCCATGATGTGGCTATAGGGAACTGAATCCTTGTCCTTTGCAAGAGTAGGCACTGTTCTTTAACTGCTGAGCCATCTCTCTAGCCCCACTGTCTACTCTTCATAGGAGGAAGAGCTGGCTACCCTGTCGGAGGAAGAAATTGCCATGGCTGTGACTGCTTGGGAGAAGGGCCTGGGAAGCTTGCCTCCACTTCGGCCCCCACAGAATCCAGTGTGAGTAGATACCAAGGAGTGGGGCTTGGTTTCATAAGTGGAAATTGTGGATGGAGGGATAGTAGACAGACCTCTATGCTCATGGAATTTTAACTCCAGTAGGATAGGGTAGAGAGGTATTTACAAATCTGTCATAATTGTATAATTACAAATTTTAATAAGTCCTATGAAGAACAGGATGCTATGAGAGAAAAGAGACAGTGTCTCATGTAGCTCAGACTGGCCTCAAACTCATTATGCTGAGGATGACCTGAACTCCTGGTCTTAAAGTGTTTCTAGTTGAGGGATCAGTGAGATGACTCAGTGGATAAAGTGCTTGCCATATAAGCTTAAGTTTGATCCTCAGAACCTACATTATGGGGCGTGCAGGGATCTCATGGCGCCGGCCCCCTGCGCACACCTGGAGATGCGGCAGGTCCCGCAGCGTCTGCTCCGCGTTGCTGGCTCTCTGGCGGGTCTCTGCTTCTCCGCTGCTTCCCCAGGTCTCTGAGACTTCTGCTGGCGGGGCTTGCCCGGCCGAGTTCCGCCCTAATTTCACCCGTGTACTCTCTCTCTAAGTTTGGGACCCATCAGCTGCCGGGTCACAAGGAAAGGCACGAGGAGGCTAAAGCTAGGTTTCCGTGAGTCGATGACGGAAGGATATCGCACCCCGGAGAGACTGGATCATAGGCAGTGAGACACAGGATTCAGCTTAATCCGTGTTACAGCTCTTTATTCAGTGACTCAGCTCGGCTCCAAGTCTCAGTGTTTCAGCTCCTAGCTCCTAGTGATCCAGCTCCAATATTGAGAGAAAACCAGGACATTTTATACCATGGGGGTAGTGGTAAAAGCTTTAGCTGATAGGTACTTTTAGGATGCCCCATTTACATGTGGTGGTAAGCTCTGGCCAGGCTGCCAGACTGCCAGAAAAATCACACAGGAAAGGCTGGCAATTTCCAGAGCCGGAAGCCATGTTTCTGTGGCGGCTACTTCAAAAGACGAGTCAGGAAGATGCCAGGAAGGTACCCTGATGAAAAGGAGTCTTCTGCATATGAAACCGAGCCCATGGGCTGTCCAGACATAGAGAGACTACTACTTCACAACAGGGGTCCCCAACACTACATGAAGGTGAAAGGCAAGAACTGACTTTACACAGTCATCTTCTGACCTCTCATGCTGTGCATTACCACTTCCTACCCTCCATAGTAAGGAATTTTTTAAAAATGTAAAGAGGGGTGTTAGTTGAGACTTGCAAGATGAGGAGGAGTTAGGCAAGAGTAAGTGTGGGAAAAGGTCTTCCCGATAGAGGAAGCCTACCTAACTAGCAGAGGCTTGAGTGACAAGAGAGTTTGGCTTTTTTTTTGAGACAGGACTCTGTATCCCCAGCAGACCTCGAACTCAGAGGTCTCCCTGCCTTTGCCTCCTGAGTGCTAAGATTAAAGGCATGACTAGAGAGTTTGGCTTTTATAAAGAATTGATAAAAGACCAGTGGCTAAAAGCTGGCCAGTCAAGGAACAAATGAATGAAGCAGTTTTTCTTTTTGTGTTGCTGAGACTCAGATCCACGGCCTTGTGCATGCTAGACAAGTGCTCACCACTGAGCTACATCCAGCCAGAGCTGTTTTGAAAGAGAAGCAGCCTCTGTTTTTGTGCTTCTTTTGTTTTTTCCTGAATTACGTGCATCTTACTTGTCTGGTGTGTAGCTCTTCTAGATTGAGCTTCTGTCCATTCCTTATGTGGTTCTGAGTGCTTTATCTTCTGGGAACTCTGTTGTCATTTAACAGTTTCTTCTCTGTTTGCCTCCTCACTAATATGTAAACTTTTAGAAAGTAGGTAGGACTATTTCTTTAAAAAAAATTTTTTTTTTTGTCTCTTTGAGACAGGGTCTCCCTGTAACCCCAGCTGGCCTGGAACTCACTATGTCGACCAAGCTGGCCTTGAACCCACAGAGATCTGCCTGCCTCTGCCTTTCAGTGCTGGGACTAAAGGCGTGTGCCACTACACCCAGCTTCTTTTTAATTTTTTAAACTAAATGTTTGTTTTATTTTGAGTGTATGGATGGGTGTCTGTGCATGCCATGTGCACTTGTGGAAGTCAGACAACAACATTTAGAAGTCTGTTCTCCTTCCACAATGGGATCTGGGAATCAAACTCGGGTCATCAGTTTTGCACAGCCAGTGCTTTTACCTGCTGAGCCATCCCACTGACCCTATCTCTTATGGGGCTCAGTTGCCAGCACAAGACCAAGTTGGCCCAATAGTTATTATAAGAAAGTCCATTCTTTGTTCATTTTGTATCTTTCTTGAATATCTATTGAAAGGTTAGTACCAAGCTCTTTGAGGGCTCATAAAGAATCAGACATAGACTTTTTTAGATGTTTGTATAGACTAACGTATTTGAATGCCTAAGCAGAAGAGGAGACATCCTGCATTGGCCTAGCCTATAATCCCAGCTACTTGGGAGGCTGAGGCAGGAGGATTGCAAGTTCTAGGCCAGCTTGAGCAACTTAGTTAGACCTTGTCTTGAAAAGTAAAAAGAGGGAGGCTGGGCATTGTGGTACACACCTTTAATCCCAGCACTCGGGAGGCAGAGGCAGGTGGATCTCTGTGGGTTTAAGGCCAGCCTGGTCTACATAGTGAGTTCCAGGACAGCTGGGGCTACAAGGAGACCCTGTCTCAAACACCCTACTGCCCCTAAAAAATGGACTAAAGAGATGACTCAGCAGTTAAGAGCACTGGCACCTCTTTCAGAGGACCTGGGTTTGGTTCCCAGCATCCACATGGTACCTAACAACTGTCCTTTAACTCCAGTTCCAGGGAATCCCACTCCCTCTTCTGACCTTTTTGTGTATTGTACGACATGAATATACCTACATACATGCAAGCAATGCACTCAATACACATAAAATAAAAATAATAATTTTTTTTTTTTTTTTTTTTTTTTTTTGTCTTTTTGAGACAGGGTCTTCCTGCCTCTGCCTCCCGAGTGCTGGGATTAAAGGTGTGTGCCACCATGCCCGGCAATAATATGTATTTTTATAAGTAAAAGTAAAAAGAGGGCTAGGAGCCAAGTTGATGGCATATGCTGGTAATCTCAGCAGGCAGAAGGACCAGGAGGTCAAGGCCACTTTGTCATGGAAAGCTATCCACCAACCACACACAGATTAAAAGGTCCAGGGAGAGGGGCTGGAGAGGTGGCTCAGTGGTTAAGAACACTGGCTGTTCTTGCAGAAGATCGGGGATTGCAGAAGACTGGGGTTCGGATCCCAGCACTCACATGGCAATTAACAACTGTCTGTAACTCCAGTTCCAGGGGATCCAACAGCCTCTTCTGTCCTCCTCGGGCATTGTACGACATGGGTGCACTTACCTACATGCAGGCAATGCACTCATAACACATAAAATAAAAAAAATAATAAATAAAAAAATATTTTTTAAAAAAAGGTCTAGGGATAGAAATCAGTGTTAGACCTCTTTCTGTTGTTATTTTGAAACAGAGTTTCCCTGTAGCCCCAGCTGGCTTAGATGTCACTATGTAGATGAAGCTGGCCTCTTATCTCAACAGAGATCTCCATGGTGCTGTAGCATGCTTGAGGCCCTAGGTTCAATTTCAGTATTGCAAAGATGATAAAAGACTTCATAGATAGCCAGCTGGGGCTACAGGGAAACCCTGTCTCAAAAAGATAAAAAAAAAAAATTCATAGGCAAATTAAGCTGTCTTAGTATTACTAGTATTATTGTATGTGTAGGTGATTTTGTGCGTGAGAGAGAAGGAGGGGGGGGGGAGAGAGGGAGGGAGGGAGAGAGGGAGAGAGCGGACATAAGGAGCAAGACAATTTTTGGGGAGTTCATTTTTCTTTCCACCCTGGATACCAGCAAAGTCAGGTTGTTAGACTTGCATGGTGAGTGCTTTTACTGACTGACCTGTCTTGCTGGCTCATGCTGTTTTATGTTAATCTTAAGCTGGAGAGCTTTGCCTTCTTTATTCAAGCCCCTGTGGTATTTTGCACCATTGTACTAACCCAGTCAGAAGGTACATCCCAACCTCTTTTTATTTTAGGTCTTTTCAAGACAGGATCTCCCTATAGCCACAGCTAGCCCAACACTCACTGACCTTAAACTTCCAGAGATCCACCTGCCTCTGCCTCTTGAGTGCTGGGATTAAAGGTGTATGCCACCCCACCCCACCATCCCAACCTCTTTTATCTGTGTTTCTGCATTCCAAAGTTTTACCAAGGTTTTACCAAGGTCTGTAAATCTTTTTTTTTTTTTTTTTTTTGGGTCTTTTTGAGACAGGGTCTCTCTGTAGCCCCAGCTGTCCTGGAACTCACTATGTAGATCAGGCTGGCCTTGAATTCACAGAGATTGCCTGCCTCTGCCTCCCAAGTGCTGGGATTTAAGGCGTGTGCCACCACGCCTGGCTTTTTTAAAAATTATTTTTATTTTATGTGTATGAGTGTATTGCCTGCATGTAAGTCAGTGCACCCGTGTTGTGCAGTGTGGCAGAGGTCAGAAGAGGGTTTCGGATTCCCCTGGAACTGGAGTTAAGGATGGTTTGTAGCCACCATGTGGGTGCTGGGAATCAAACCTGGATCCTCTGCAAGAGCAGTCAGTGCTCTTAACCGCTGAGCTATCTCTCCAGCCCCGGTCTGTAAATTTTAAATGGAAAAATTCCAGAAATAATCCATAAGTTTTAAATAACTTATTATAGCATGTTGTATTTTGTTACTGTTGTAATACCATAACTGTGTCTAGTTTATAAATTAAACTTTATCATAGTTATAAATGTATAGGAAGATGCATATAGGGTTCGGTACTGTCTGTGATTTCAGGAGTGTACCTGGGAATCTTGGAGAGTATCCCTAGGAATAAGGAGGACAGCTATAAAATAGGTTGTAACCCACCTTAAGTACAGAACCCAGGGCATAGTTACCTATTTATCTGCCATAGTTATCAACATGGCCATGATAAGAGGGAAATGTCAGGATCATGGAAAAGGACCACTACACAGTTAATTTATAAACTAGACACAGTTATGGTATTACAACAGTAACAAAATACAACATGCTATAATAAGTTATTTGTATGGTACAAAGTGGGTAAGGGCTTAGGTTGCAAAAAGACTGGAAGGCCAGTTAGTAAAAGAGATTTTCCTGAAGGAGCAGATTTGTATGCTGCATTTTAAAAACAATTATGGTGCCAGATGTGGTGGCGCACGCCTTTAGTCCCAGCACTCAGGTGGATCTCTGTGAGTTCCAATCCAGCTGGGGCTACAGGGAGACCCTGTCTGAAAAGGACAAAAAAAAAAAAAAAAAAAAAAAAAAGGGCCTGGAGATGGCTCAGTGGTTAAGAATACTGGCTGTTCTTGCAGAAGACCCAGGTTCGAATCCCAGCACCCACATGGCAGCTGTCTTTAACTCCGGTTCCAGGGGATCCGACAGCCTCTTCTGTCCTCCAAAGGCATTGCACGACACGGGTGCACTTACCTACATGTAGGCAATTCACTCATACACATAAAAATAATAAATTAAAAAAAAATTATGGTAACCAGTTATAGGAACACAGGCCAATGAATACATGACAGATTCGTGACATCTGTATTGAAGAAGTCAGCTGTGGAATGTTCCATGAAGTAGATAGACAGTCTGGTGGTTGTACATAGCTGGGGAGATCAGGTGAGGTAATATGAGAGAATTAGGAAGCCAGTGATCACAGGATGAAAGTAGTTAGAAAGATATAGGAACTTTAGTGAGGTATCAGTGCTAGGGAGAGGAGAGGGGGAATACAGGATGTACGTAGCTGAGCTGTCAGAGATGATGAAGGATGAAAAAGGAATAATGACTGGAGAGACATCAGTCAGCAGATTGAGTGACGTGACTAGAAATGATCCTGGAAAGAGAGGAGATAGTGCATGTGAAGGCAATACTGGTTCTTTCCCCCTACCCCCATGGGGTGGGGGTGTGGGGGTGTGGTACACAGTGTGCATATGTATATGTGTGTAGTCTCCTCCTCAGCTGGTATTTACTGAGGCAGGGTCTTACTGAATCTGCAGCTCTCTAATTCTGGCTGGTCTAGTTAGCTTGTGGTATTCATGTCTGTACCTCTGAAGCACTGGGATTATAGGTTGACCACCGTAGCTGCCTGGGTTTTATTGTGGGTTCTAGTGATCTGAACTCCAGTATTCATGCTTACATGGCAAGTGTTTTATCCACTGAACCATCTTACTCAGTCTACAATATTGGTTCTTGCTGATTTGAGTTAGGCCAGAAGTGGCAAGCCTGGCTTAGGAAAAGAGGGGTTGGGGTACAAAATGATTTTGGTAAGATTTGTATATTCAGTGATGAGCTGTGAGGATTTCATCTAATGACTAAGGGTACCCTGGAAGAGGAGGTCAGCACTGGGAAGCTTCTTGGGAGCAGTGAATGATAGTAGTTGGACACAGTTTAGGGGAGAATTGTGTTAGTACCTGGGAAGTTTGAGCCTGAGAACAAGCTAAGGTCATGAGAATGAAAGAGGAATCAGTGTTGGAATAGGGCACATGCAGTGCACTTACTACTGTGCATGAGGCTTGCAGACACTTCAGGACCTTTACCAGCAGCCCTAGGGTTACAGACCTGTGGGTTCTTGTGAGGAAAGTCTTAGATCAAGTCTATTTTGGGGTATTTTGTACAATTTTGGTCTTAGTATTTACATCTCTGCAATGGACTGTTCTCTTCCTCCTTCCTTTACTAGGTTACCTGTGGCTGGAGAAAGGAATGTGCTTATCACGAGTGCCCTCCCTTATGTGAACAATGTCCCTCACCTTGGAAACATCATTGGTTGTGTACTCAGTGCTGATGTCTTTGCCAGGTGAGCCAGTTGCTAGAGGAGAGACCTCCTGAGGGAGGGGTGGGTCCCAAGGGAATAAGAGTCCTCAGAGGTGGAGGCTGGAGGAAGCTGCCTATGACCACCATTTCCCCTTCCAGGTACTCTCGCCTCCGCCAGTGGAATACTCTCTATCTGTGTGGAACAGATGAATATGGTACAGCGACAGAGACCAAGGCTATGGAGGAGGGTCTAACCCCACAGGAAATCTGTGACAAGTATCATAGAATCCATGCTGACATCTACTGCTGGTTTAATATCTCATTTGATACTTTCGGTCGTACCACCACTGCACAGCAGACCAAGTAGGTTTCCTCTCATGAGGCAGGGATGGGGATTGAAGGCTGAGGCTAGGAGTAATGAGAAATCATGGAGACAGACAGAGCCGAGGTGGCTGACTAGAAACTCTTAAACTTGGGTCCTGAACATTGTCCTGAGATGTTTTCAGTATCCTTTTCAGTATCCAAATGAATCCTGGGCAGTTTTCAGGCCTTGATAAGATTCAGTTTTTTTTTTGTTTTTTTTTTTGGTCTTTTTGAGACAGGGTCTCCCTGTAGCCCCAGCTGTCCTGGAACTCACTATGTAGACCAGGTTGGCCTTGAACTCAGAGATCCGCCTGCTTCTGCCTCCGGAGTGCTGGGATTAAAGGTGTGTGCCACCACACCCGGCTATAAGATTCAGTTTTTACAGAAGCCTGAATAGGGACTGGCGGCTGAAGGAGCACCTGAGGGAGGAAGAGAAACATGTGCCTGCCTCCCATTTGTTGCTTTCCTTCCTCTGATGACCCAAGAGTCTTTTTGGTTTGGAGACAGAATCTCATTTTATATCCCAAGCTGGTCTCAAACTCCTGCCTCAGCTTTCTAAGAGCTGGGATTACAGGTATGCACCATTGTGCTCAGCTTAGAGTCTTTAAGATAGTTCCTTCCTATTTGCTTGCCAGTGTCCTCACAAATGCCACAAAGAGACTGGTGGACCACTGAGTTCAGCCCTTGGGCTATGTGAAGTCCTGAAGACAAAGCATGTAAAACTAAGCTCAACACGGTGGCACCCTCCTGTAGTCCCAGCATTTGGGAAGTGGAGGCAGAGGATCGGGAGCTCAAGGCCAACCTTGTCCATGTAGTGAGTTTGAGGCTGGTGTGAGCTTCATGAGACTTTATCTCAAAAAAGAAAGAACAAAAACTTGGGTGGCAGAGGCAGACAGATCTCTGTGAGTTCGAGGCCAGCCTGGTCTATATAGCGAGTTCCAGGCCAGCTGGGGTTTCAGGGAGACTCTGTCTCAAAAGGATTTAAAAAAAAGGCATGTAACTAGAGTCAACAAAAGTGAACTGCCACGTGCTGAGGGAAGAGAATCAAGTGAGCAATGTGGACTCATTCAGTAAGCTCTGAAATGGAGTAGATGGCCATTACCCTGAGAAGCCTTCTACATCATTTTTTTGATGCTGTTTGGGTGTCTGGTTGGAGCAGCAGAAGGAAAGGGTCCAGATTGCCTCTGACTGTTCTTTCTCATCCCTTGCTTACTGACCTTGCCAGAATCACCCAGGACATCTTCCAGAGGTTGCTAACACGAGGTTTTGTGCTACAAGATACTGTGGAGCAGCTGCGGTGTGAGCAATGTGCTCGTTTCCTGGCTGACCGCTTTGTGGAGGGAGTGTGTCCCTTCTGTGGGTATGAAGAGGCCCGGGGTGACCAGTGTGACAAGTGTGGCAAGCTCATCAATGCCATTGAACTCAAGGTAAGAGGACGATCTCAAGGGAGCCCAAAGGAAACTACTGCTTATTCTTTTTCTGCAACAAAAACACTCGGAAGAGCAGAAGGACACATTCAATCTCACTATCCATGGGAGCTGTGGATTCTGATGGGCAGGCTCCATCTCACTGCTCTATAGGAGTTCTAGATTTGATAAGCAGATCAACTGTTTATTCTTTTTTGGACTTGAGACAGGGTCTCCCTGCCTGTAGCCCCAGCTGGCCTGGAACTCATTATGTAGACCAGGTTGGCTTTGAACTCAGAGATCCGCCTGCGTCTGCCTCCTGAGTGCTTGGATTAAAGGCTTGGGCTACTATGCCTGGCTCTGAGCATTTGCCTTGTAACTGGCAGGGTACAAGGAAATAGACAAATTGCTCCAGCTTTAGACCACCTGATAAGTGCTGATTTAGATCCTTCTTCCACAAATACCTCTGTCCAAGTGCAAGTTGACTCATTTGTTAATTATTACTCATTTATTGACAAACCTTTATGAATCTTTGTATTAGGCCAGAACATATAATTGTAGAGACTGAGAAAGAGGGAGTAGATAAGACAGACTTTTATCTAATGTGAGGAAGGGACAGCCACTAAATAAGGGAATAATGTAGAAAAACTGTTAGGAAGATGGGCTAGAGAGTGGGCTTTAAGAGCCTAGGCAAGGCCTCTTAGAAGAGACCATAATTTGATCTAAGAAGAGAATGCGGAGCAAATCAGGCAGTGAGTGGGACTAAGGTTTCCAAGTAGAAGGAACAGGAAATGTGAAGGGCCAGCAGCATCAGAGAGCTGGAAAAGTCATTGCAGCAATGGCATAATGAGTGAAGAGGAAGAATGGAACTGAGGTCAGAAGGAAAGGCAGGACCAGATCTTCAGGCCCTAAGACATTGAGGCGGTTAGGGTTTGTTCTAGTTTGTTTTAGTGGCAAGCAGCTCTGTGGAAAGCTGATGGGAAAGAAGCAAGAGAAGTGTGAGGAGAAAGATTTAGAGCCTCAAATCCAGAAAATGGATGAAGTTGGCTTGGACTAAGTCGGCAGTTGAGACACTGTCCAAAAAAAGGTGGTGGAGGTGAGCGTCTAAATTTAGTCAAAACATATTTTACAAAATTTGCAAAAATTCAATTGAAAATTGTATTAAACAAAAAAGAACCTCAGATCAAAAAACTCACTTTAGCTGGGCATTGTGGTACAAGCCTTTTAGTCCTAGCACTCAGGAGTCAGAGGCAGACAGATCTCTGGGAAATTGAGGCCAGCCTGATCTACATGGTAATTTCCAGGCCAGTTGGGGCTACAAGGAGACCGTGTCTCTAAAATAAAATAAATTTCACTTGAAAGCGTCATTCTTTAGCTTCTCACCTGTTAATCCCTTTAGCCATCACCTACCTGCCAATGTTTATGTAGGTGTTTTGTACTACAAAATTAAGAATTTCCTGACATTTTTTCCTGTAAAGATCTATGTTTATGGCTTAGGCGGACCATCTTTTCCTTACTTGGTTGCAATCTCAAAGAGAA